CCTGTGCTGAGTGCTGACTGGTCTTCAGCTGTTCCCTGTTTCCTGCTCGTTCCTGTGTGATTTCCTTGTTGCTGACCCGGCTTGTTCCTGACCTGACTCTGATTCCTCTCCTGCTTGATACTGGTTCCTGACTTCTGCTCTGCTCCTGACTTCGGTTTTGCTTATCATTTGGTACCTCGCTGTCCGCCCGTTGATTTCCCCGGCTATTCCTATGACACTGCTCCTGTCTCCTATCCCTGCTTCCTGCCTTGTTCTGGTGCACACCTGGCGATCTACCATACCAGCTCTGCATATCACTACTGATCCTGAATCGGAGGTTAATCTGCCTTCCAAAGTCTCAAACTGCAAGAGCTGCAAACAACATCTGCTAGCGCTCTTGTCCCCCTGATCCCTAGACACCCTCTGTTCCACTTCCAGTGAGGTCAGGGCCAGTGACACAAGTGAGGCCGACCTCGTCATTTCAGTCTCCCATCAGGTAGGTGACACCCAGGACTCCCATTGCGGATACTGGACAGTTCTGTTCTTTATATGATGTGCCTTTGACAATATTGTCTTTTATGAGTATATTACCTCTTCTTTTTTACCAATAAATGTTTTTTTTAAAGGTAATGTACTAGGCCTGTGCGCCCTCTGTTTGTTCTCTTGTATGCAGTGTATTTGGACTCCCCTGGGCCATTGAGGGCAGCAAGGCATGCACTCTTCAAGGCATTTGATATGTGGTTGTAGCCTCTGTGCAGTCCATCCCCAAACGCAGGAGTATATGTATATGCCATTTTCGATGCTCATTAATATCCAAGTCTGCTTGCCTATGCCCCTTAAGATGGGGGTATAACGGAAATGCTGTCATACTCACAGGAGGGCAATCTGGAGGAGCCAGCAGGGGCAAAATAGCAAGACTCAGAGGGAGAACCAAAATGCAAACAAGTTTTTATATTGTGACTACTTCTACATTGTGCTGAAATTGGTAATGCCATAATAGTACTTACCAGTCACTCCTCAAACAACTATATATCTTAACATAAATACCCAATAAGCAATAGCAACAGTAACAGGAGGAAATCCATAAAATAGATAAACAAAGCATTAAACTGGTGATCACAATATTCGGGGGAGGAACCCCTCAGATGTACCTGGATGCTGCGCCAGCGGATCAGATCCTCTATGACAGGGGTCCCCAAACTATGGCCCATGGGCCACATCTGGCATATCCTTAGACTGAGGATTCAGATCAGTTGGTCTCTGCTTCCAATGGGAACCCTGATGTAAAGGGTAACTCTAATGGAGACCCTGATGTAAGGAGGAGGGCTTTGATGCATGGGGGAACTTTGATAGGGATCACAATATTCAGGGGAGGAACCCCACAGATGTACCTGGATGCTGCGCCAGCAGATCAGATCCTTTATGACAAGGGTCTCCAAACTATGGCCCATGGGCCACACCTGGCGTATCCTTAGACTGAGGATTCAGATCAGTTGGTCTCTGCTTCCAATGGGAACCCTGATGTAAAGGGTAACTGTAATGGAGACCCTGATGTAAGGAGGAGGGCTCTGATGTATGGAGGAACTTTGATAGGGATCACAATATTCAGGAGAGGAACCCCTTAGATGTACCTGGATGCTGCACCAGCGGATCAGATCTTCTATGACATGGGTCTCCAAACTATGGCCCATGGGCCACATCTGGCGTATCCTTAGACTGAAAATTCAGATCATTTGGTCTCTGCTTCCAATGGGAACCCTGATGTAAAGGATAACTCTAATTGAGACCCTGATGTAAGGAGGAGGGCTCTGATGCATGGGGGAAGTTTGATAGGGATCACAATATTCAGGGGAGGAACCCCTCAGATGTACCTGGATGCTGCGCCAGCAGATCAGATCCTCTATGACAAGGGTCTCCAAACTATGGCCCATGGGCCACATCTGGCGTATCCTTAGACTGAGGATTCAGATCATTTGGTCTCTGCTTCCAATGGGAACCCTGATGTAAAGGGTAACTGTAATGGAGACCCTGATGTAAGGAGGAGGACTCTGATGTATGGAGGAACTTTGATAGGGATCACAATATTCAGGAGAGGAACCCCTTAGATGTACCTGGATGCTGCACCAGTGGATCAGATCCTCTATGACAAGGGTCTCCAAACTATGGCCCATGGGCCACATCTGGCGTATCCTTAGACTGAGGATTCAGATCAGTTGGTCTCTGCTTCCAATGGGAACCCTGATGTAAAGGGTAACTGTAATGGAGACCCTGATGTAAGGAGGAGGGCTCTGATCTATGGGGAACTTTGATAGAGACCCTAATGGTGATGGAGGCTCTGACACGTAAGGGGGCTCTGATGTGAAGGGGACCTTTGATATGACGGGGGGCTTCTAATATGAAGTCATTTCTTGGAAAGTGTTATTCATTTATAACAAATCTTATTCATTCACACATTAAACTGATTTTATTTTCTTGGTCCTTGCATATCTGTAAAGTATTCGATGGCCCATGTACTGAAAAGAGTTGGAGACCCCTACTCTATGACAATCTGATGAGCTGTCCATTATATGACCCTGCATCTCTTTGCTTTTGTAAACCCTTATATATTCCTTCTCTTCTAATACACAGACTGTAGCTGGGGAACCTGCATGCCTTGCTCTGTTGATGAAAGGGTTACACCTCCTTGCTTTCTCACCTTTTTGCCTTTGTAGTCAACAGACAGCAAGACAAATTCCTTCCTCTCACGGGAGATCATATTTCTCAGGAGGACTTTGATTTATTGAGAAAAGCTTTATGATTTTCAGCTTGATTTTCCCGCTCTGTGGTGTGCGCTCAGGTTTAGCCATCCCATCACACATATCATTTTATCAGCACACCATGAAGAACCAGAGCCTCCATGAATATATGCATTGAAATGCAACCTCACCAAACAATCATAGTTGTTGGTTGTCTCATAACCGCAAAATGAGAGACAAGTGAAATCTCTTGGGGGTAGAGAAGTTATTTCATTCCAACTTTTTCCAAGTGCATTCACGCAGATCCACCCCAGCCATCTCAGCTGGTTCTAGACCTTGAATGGAGCAGTAGGGGACGTCTCCTGCCCCAGGCACATGAGCACATTGATGGCCTTTTATATAGGCCTCCCCCTTCCCTTCCCATGCTAACTAGGTTACACAGTTACTACTGAGAATGTTAAAAAGGAGGTGTGCAAAGGCACTTAGCATGGGGTTTGATTTTTTCTGAAGCTAACATTAGATGCATCCCACCAATGAAGAGTCTAAAGATGCCTTTGTCAGCCAGAGTTCTGTAGATCCAGGGTGTATTTTGGTTTTGTGTTGCCCTAGGCAAGACTAAAATGGCGCCCCCATCTAAATTTGTCCCACCTCTTCCTGTTTAGGACCCAACCCTTCATCTGTAAACTCCACCCCTTCCACTTTAGGCTCCACCTCTTCCTATTAGAACTGCACCCCAGGAGACGGTCAGAGACTGTGGACAGGATACAGGAGATGGTCAGAGACTGCAGACAGGATACAGGAGAGGGTCCCCACAACCCCTCCCCTTGGATCAAGGTCCCCAAGTTCTCCCTCCTTAAATCAGGGTCCCCCCTCAACATTAGGGTCCAAAAAGCCCCCCCCCAATAAATCAGGATCCTGTTTGAATCATGGTCTCCAGAGTCTCCCCACCTTAAGTTCATCAGGGTTCCCATAGCCCATCCCCTTATATCAGGGTCCCCCAGAGCCCCCTCCTTAAATTAGGTTTCCCAGAGTCCTCCCTCCTTACATTAGAATCCCAAAAGTCCCCCCCCCCCAATACATCAGGGTCAGTCCTTTACATCATGGTTTCCGGAATCTCCCCCAACTTACATCAGGGTCCCCATAGGCCCTCCTTTTACATCATGGTCCCCCAGATCCCCTCTTCTTAAATCCAGGTCCCCATAGTCCCTACCACTTACATCAGGGTCCCAAGAGTCGCCACCAATACACCAGGGTCTACCTTTGCATCATGGTTTCCAGAGTCCCCCCACCCATATACCCTCCCCATACATCAGTTTCCCCCAGAGACCCAGATCTACCTCCTTAAATAAGGGTCCCCAGAGTTCCCCTCTTCCCTTACATTAGGGCCCCAAAAGTCCCCACAGTACATCAGGGTCCCCCTATACATCACGGTCTTCAGAATCCCCCACCTTACATCAGGGTCCCTAGAGCCCATTGTCTTTAATTTGGGTCCCCAAAGTTCCCCCTGCCCTTACATCAGGATCCCCCCAACCCCCCTTACCTCAGGGTCCATTTTATCTCATTCCTCCAGGCAGCTACATGAACTGGAAGAAATCCTATCCTTGACACCCTCCTCCTCCACTGAATGTCGTGGCCTGGTGGCGGGGCAAGCACCTGTTTGGTTGTTAGGACCGCCGATGTCCTAGCAACCAATCATGTGCTTTCCCCACCCCTACTAGCGCTGAAAGTGACAACACAGGGCAGCGGCAAGGTGAGCCACCCCCTGCCTGAACACAGCCGAGCCACCCCCCGCCCAAGCACACATGAGAACTCCCCCTCGCCCGAACACAGCCAAGCCTGCCCGAGCACAGCAGAGCCGCCCCCCCCCCCGAGCACACATGAGCCCACCCCCCCTCCCAATCACAGCCGAGCCTGTCCCCCCACCTGAGCAAACACGAGCCCACCCTCTCTCCCAAACACAGCCAAGCCCGTCCCCCCACCCGATCATATACGAGATGGCACTGGTCTGGCCTTTGTAGATGGCCCTGGGCCCTTCTGTCTAGGGGCGATGCTGCCCCCCTGAAAAATGCCTCCCAGGGCAGGTGCCTTGTTTACCTCGTGGCAGATATGTCCCTGCATAGATCACAAATGTTCCTCCTAAGGTTACTAGGTGTTGCTTGTTCTTCTACATTATTTTGCATGACAAAGCCAGTGTAATGAGACCAGTGGAGCTTCTTCTCTTGTTTCTCGTGTAAGCACACTGACGCCAATGATTATGTTAGCCTTTCTGTAAGGGTGGCATTCTTTCCATTGACCACCAATGTAAGGAACCTTTTTCCTACTGACCACCAATGTAAGGAACATTCTTCCCACTAACTAGCAATGTAAGGGACATTCTTCCCATTGACCACCAAAGTAAGGTACATTCTTCCCATTGACCACCAAAGAAGGAGCATTATTTCCACTGACCTCCAATGTAAAGAGCATTCTTCCCATTGACCACCAATGTAAGGAGCATTATTTCCACTGACCTCCAATGTAAAGAGCATTCTTCCCATTGGCCATCAATGTAAAGAGCATTCTTTCCCTGATCACCAATATAAGGACCATTCTTCCCGCTGTCCTCCAATGTAAGAAGTATTCTTCTCATTGACCACCAATGTAAGGAGCATTCTTCCCATTGATCACCAATGTAAGAGGCATTCTTCCCATTGACCACCAACATAAAGAGTGTTTTTTTCCCACTGACTACCAATGTAAGGGCCATTCTTTCACTGACAGCCCTTGCAAGGGACATTCTTACCGCTGACCATCAACATAAGGGGCATTCTTCCCATTGACCACTAATGTAAGGGACATTCTTCCCACTGACCACCAATCTAAGGGGCATTGTTCCCACTGACCCCCAATATAAGGAGTATTCTTCCCACTTACCTCCAGTTCATATGGTAAAAGACAGCCAGCCCATCAAAATCAAATTCTTCTTTTACTCAACGAAGCATAATGAAAATACAAAAGACCAATGTTTTGAAGACACATCGGACACCTTTCTCAAGGTGACATGAACAGTACAATATATGGAAGACCCATATCATCAGGAACAATGTCCAAAAGATATTATGTTCTACAACTTATGTGGACGTTTTAAAGACCTTTTGAATGAATCGGAGATGCATGGTAATTTTATTTATATAAGTAGACTAAATCTCTGTCTACTCAAAATGAAACAAACAGCTTTGGGGGGGATTTCTTTCTAATGCTAGGAGAATTATACATATAACCCCACATAAGCATATGTATTGTGACTGGTAAGCAGAGAGGGAATGTGACGTGGGTCACTCCCTATCCTACAATTTCCAACCAATATTTAACTTCAAAGGTCAACCTACAGTTTGTTACATTCGAGTTCTGCAAAGCTGAAGCCACCAGCTGGAAATAGGGCTGAAGAAGAGGAATTGGAATATTTACAGTCACCAATTTCTGCCTGCACAAGAAGAGAATATGGCGGGGATTATACAGAAACATAACAGGTGAGCTGTACAAAGGTCTAACAACTAACTGTTAACTTCCTTTCAAATGTGCAAAGTCACTGCTTTCCATCCTGACACAGTAAACAAGTATGCAACTCAAGAGTGCTCACTTACCATTCTATTAAGTGTCCATTTACCTACCCTGCTCAGATGCAGGTGTAGACCCATTTAACTCTATTGTCCACAATTCCTTGCGTTCCTGTACAGGGAAGATAGGTTCCCCAGCTTCCCTCTCAGAGCATTCACACCTGATGAAGCACACCCAAGGTAGCTAGGGAAATGGTGCAGCCAGGTGAGAGACCCTCCACTGTTAGAACCAGCATGTCAGTCAAACAGCTTCTCTGGAGGTTCCAACAATTGTGGGGTATCTGTATACCAGAATTCCCCAGTTCCAGTGGGGTGGCCCTACCTGTGTCCTCAGGCCTTGGATCCCTCCAGCTGTTCACCTGCATTACCATTGCTACCCGGACCTCACTGAGATGGACTCTATTTATGAAGATAAGCCCACCCAGAGGTGGACTGACCATTTGGAAACTCGGGCTCTGTCCGAGGGCCCGGGGTCAGTAGGGGGCCCCACGAGTTGCCCCTGGTACCTTTTTCATAGGCTTTTTTAAATTTGGGCAAGGACACAGGGGCCCTATGATCCCCTATTGCCCGGGGGCCCCATGAGTTGTCAGTCCGCCCCTGAGCCCAACTATCTGTTCGTGTTTCGAACTGTTTTACTGAAGTAATGATTTAACAGCTTCACCTGTTGTTATAAAGTCCTATACAGGCGTACATCGGTTTATGAATTTAATTCATTCTGCAGGACTTTTCGTATTGCGAATAATTCGTAAACCAAAACACGGTTTCCCATAGGAATGTATTGAAAACCAATTAATCCGTTCCGGAGGTTAGAAAAAAGTAAAAAAAAGTCTTTTATCTGTTCAAAACTCTTTATAAAATGCACTTTAAAGGCATAAATACTGTACAGGGACATGATTAAAAATTCATTCGTAAATGCATTGAAAACCAAATAATCCATTTGTATTGCAAAAAAAATGTGTAAACTGAGGCATTATTTTCAATTCGTAAACCGAAAATTACGTTACCGATGTGTTCATAAACCGAGGTACGCCTGTAGACAAATAATCCAGGGTTTACCCATGACACATACACACAGAACATTTTATTCAAAAGAAGAGCATCTGACCAATTAATCTGTTCCGGAGGTCAGAAAAAAGTAAAAAAAAGTCTTATCTGTTCAAAACTCTTTATAAAGTGCACTTTAAAAGCATAAATACTGTACAGGGACATGATTAAAAAAAAATTAATAAATGCATTGAAAAGCATTTAATCCGTTTCCAGAGGTCAGAAAAAAGTAAAAAAAAAGTCATTTATCTGTACAAAACTCTTTATAAAGTGCACTTTAAAGGCATAAATACTGTACAGGGACATGATTAAAAATTAATTTGTAAATGCATTGAAAACCAATTAATCCCTTCCGGAGGTCAGAAAAAAGTCAAAAAAGTTTCATCTGTTTAAAACTCTTTATAAAGTGCATTTTAAAGGCATAAAAGGACATGATTAAAAAAATGTCATAAATGCATTGAAAACCAATTAAATTGTTTATATTGCAAAAAAAAATCGTAAACCGAGGCATTATTTTCAATGGATTTTCATTCGTAAACCGAAAATTACGTTAACCGAGGCGTTCGTAAACCGAGGTACGCCTGTAGAAGAAAATGTTATGCTACCATGTTACCCTGATTGAGCACACAGAGCCATTGCTATGAAGAGTTCATCATTGTGAGGCTTCGTAATCTGTTTTGTATTATTCTGCTGCATATGCATACCCTTTGCCATCATCAACTTGCTTTCCAACATTTTGCAGTGTATGCATGTTTTTGCCACCTTGAACCTTTTGATTTATATATATATATATATATATATATATATATATATACAGAGGTGTACCTCGGTTTACAAATGTAATGTGTTCTCCAGGACGTTTCGTATTGCGAAAAATACATAGTATTGATTCTAACTTTGCACCTCTTTAGTACACTGGAAATTACAGTTACTCTCTGATTGATCATTTGAACGATTATCTATGATAAAATTTTAGTGCCGTATTAAAAAAATAATAATAATAAAAAAAATGAAAAAATTATATATATATATATATATATATATATATATATATATATATATATCTATATGTGTGTGTGTGTACCTGTCCCTAGTGTATGGCCAGAAGGCTTTGTACAGAGCTTCATTCAGAAAGAGACCACCTGAAAAAAAACCTCTACAGATGCTCTTCTTTTGAATAAAATGCTCTGTGTGTATGTGTCATGGGTGAACCCTGGATTTGTCTACAGGCGTTCCTCGGTTTATGAACGAATGCCTCGGTTAACGTAATTTTCGGTTTACGAATGAAAATTCATTAAAAAAAATGCCTTGGTTGACAAATTTTTTTCGGAATACGAAGTGTATGTCGGTGCCGATTTTTAAATGCAATTTCCGGCTTTTTTTTTTCTTCACTATAGCTCACAGAATTAGCTGTCACTTTCCCCGGGACTAAAGGATACTTTGTTTCCTTTATCTTGGGAAACAAACTAAAAGGAAACACTGTTTCTTTTAACTCAGGGAAGTAAACTAAAAAGAAACATCCTTTCTTTTAACTGGGGTGGAAAGTGACAGCTGATTCTCTGAGCTATAGTGAAGAAAAAAAAAAAAGCCGGTATTTACATTTAAAAACCTACACTGACTTATAGTGCGACTTTTTTTTTTCTTTTTTCTGACCTCCGGAATGGATTAATTGGTTTTCAATGCATTCCTATGGGAAACCGTGTTTACAAAACGTCCCAGAGAACGTATTAAATTTGTTAACCGAGGTACACTTGTGTATATAAATATATATATATATATATATATATATATACTCATTCAGGTGTACCTCAGTTTACAAATTCTTTGCAATACGAAACGTCCCGGAGAGCACATTAGATTCGTAGACTGAGGTACACCTGTATATATATATATATATATATATATATAATATATATATATATATATATATATTATATACATATATATATATATAAAATGTTTATTGGATATATAACATTCCTTGGTGGTTAAAGTAACAAAACTAGATATCAAAAAAAAATGATGCTACATCGCCATCTACTGGTAAGATATAGCAAGTATGAATGCTATAGGATTACATTGGTTGCTTCTCCTCCAAACATAGTTTCCCCAAAACAGCAGTATTCTCAACACATCTACTGCATATTTTAGGGGTGCAGATGCACGCGCAGTAAGGTTTCCATACATCCCTACATACTGCATGAGATGCAAAGCCAAATACCTTTTTAGGACCAAAATATTTGGACACAGAAAGCCAATTACATACAAACCTGCATAAGCTAATTCTTCACAAATGTATTCCTTATTTCACAAACACTTGTAGCACCCAAAAAAAAGCAAAAAAAAAACCCCAAACAATACCAGTTGTTCTGTTTTAAATGTTGCTTTATGCATTGCCATACCTCCTTAGACCCAGTCCGTCTGGACAGTAAGGTCACCTGCTGACTTGGCATAATCCACAAGCAGTCTAACTCTTCTGTAAGACACAGACGTTGAATCCAATGCAATTTTACTTTAGATAACTGCAGCACAGCTGTTTTTCCAGTTGTAGGGATCTGCTGCCATCTTCTGTCTGTATTTGCAAATAGCTGTTCTTTGTTATTTAACACAGAGTTAGTTTGTAATAGATAGGCATTTCTGTACCTGCTCCTGCTAGCTGGGTCAGAAACCCCGACTGGAGGACTGTAATGTATATAAAGGGGAGTTCCCTTGAAGTAGACACACAACTGAGCTACCTGAGCTTAAACAGGCCGAACCCAGACCAGAATACAGGGATTACTAAGCAAGTGCTCCTATGTTTAATAGATTTATATATACACACAATGGTCTGCTGACAGATGCATCTCTGTCCTATTGTTATTTCAGATGCACAAAGCCAGATGGCTAGATCTGCTCTACTCTATGTGTATAGAGGTTACCTTCCAGTATATTAGTAGGTGAACCTGGTCATTGCAATAGAATTTATATGCTGGTTTTGATATTTACGTTAGCCTTCTCCCTTCTGGACTGGGATTCTATAGCTAGTTTTGGCTCAATAAGCAGCATAGACTAGAGCCATGTTGGCCATCCAATGGTCACTTGACAGTTACAGGTCCGATTGCATGACAGAATAGAAACTACAAGGGACTAACACACAGAGTAGATAGGCTGACTCTGAGTTTCAGTACCATGCCACAGTTTCTGCTGGTGAAAATCTGCATTCCAGGCTGGTTGGACAATGGTTAGAGGATCTCCT